CTGCCCCCCTCCGAGTGCCTCCTCTGCGCGGCTTGGAAGAAGAGCATCCACGATTCCGACGATGTCAATGTTTTCCTGTGTGTCGTTTCGTGCCGTGGTTGGTCGTTAGTGTGTGTGTGTGTGTGTGTGTGTGTGTGGACACCACCACCGACCGACCGAAAACGGGCGTGTCCACAGTGTCCATCGGCCTTGGCCAAAAGGCATCGCCGCGGCGTGGGTTGTGATGCGTACCGGATGTTGTACTCGACCGAGAGAGACTTCATGACGTCCTCGTCTTGTGAGTGGCTGCTGCCTGCTCGCCCGTGCCCGTGCTGGTGCTGGTGCTGGTGCTGGTGCTGGTGCTGGTGCTGGTGCTGGTGCTGGTGCTGGTGCTGGTGCTGGTGCTGGTGCTGGCGACGGTGGATGGCAGAGCCCAGGGTGACCAGAGAGCGGGACCGCTTGTCGTGCAGCCGCCCTCGTCCGCGCATCGAGTCCTTGCGCTGCACGAGCTTGCGATAGGGGAACTTCGCATCGCCGGCATCCTCGGGGATGGCCTCCTCCTCCTCCTCCTCCTCGATGCCCACTACTGCATCCGTCGTTGCCGATGACGGGCGTTGCTGCCTTGGCTGCTGCTGGGTGCCAGGGCGGACCAGCTCGTCATCGTCGCGGCCACCTCGGCTGCGCAGGTGAACGCCTCCACTTTGCCAGCAGCGCGCCTGGCGCTGGTCAGCCGGCACTTGCCCGCCTCCCTCCTGGCCGGTCGTTGTTCCGTTCTCGTCCTCATTCTCGTTCTCGTCCTCCTCGGCAGCGGCAGCCCGACCACAACCACGACCTCCGCCGCCGCCGCCGCCGTGGTGGTGGTGGCCAGGAGGAGGAGGAGGAGGAGGGTGGAAGTAGAACTGCCTCTTCTTGAGCGCCATAAATTCCACAAAGGCGGCCTTGTCAGCGAGGACCTCGACCGGGGCTCTGTTGCGGACGAGCCGGCACAGAGCAAGCACCTCGTCGATCATCACCAGGAAGCTCGCCATCATGACGCTCGCCGCTTCCCCCTCTCCCGCCTCGTCCCCGTCTTCCTCCTCCTCCTCCTCCGCCTCCTCGTCCCCGTCCCCGTCCCCGTTCTCCTCTTTCGCATCTCCTCGTGTCTCGCTCGCGTTTGGTGCGCCGCCGCCACCATACGGGGCGGAGCCGGCCCGGCTCTTCTTGGGCGCCTTGTGAAGCTTCGTCTTGACCGGTTTGAGCATCACCTTCGTCGTCGTTGGGGTCGTGGTAGTCGTCGTCTGACTGCCGGGATCGGTGCTCTCCGCACTCTCGCCTGCAGTCGTCGTCTTCGTCGTTGTCGTCTCCTTCTGCTTCTGCTTCTTTTTCTTTCGCCGGTGTGCCCCGGTTGCCGCTGCTCTCGTCCCCTCTTCCTTATTCCCTCCTACGGCGGCGGCGGCGGCGGCGATGTTGAAGCGGGGCAGTGGCTGTCCGTCTGTCCGCCCATGTGCGCCGGCCTCCCCGTCGCTCGGGGCGCCCGCGGTAGTCGTTGGCCGCGGTGACGAACCTCTTGGGCCTGGCCCAAGCGCGGCAGAGATCGCCTCGAGAAGCTCCTGCTCCTGCTCCTGTTGCTGCTGCTGCACGTGCTGCTGGCGGTGGCGAGCGGCGCAGGCCTCGGCATCGAGCCACAGGGACTTGATGGTGCGGAAGCTGAACTCCCGCTGCAGGATCATGCGGCGTGCCCGCAGTTCTTCCATCGCTGCCGCCCGCTGCTGCTGCTGCGCGCCATGGCCTGGGGCGTCGTCGTCGTCCTCCTCCTCCTCCTCAGCCGCCGCCGCCGCGTCATGGGTCCCTTCCGCCGCCGCCGCCGCCGCCGGGTGGCCTGAGGTGCGGGTGGTAGTGCGCGCCGGTAGCTCCCCACTTCGCTCCAGGCCGGCCAGCATCCTTCTCGCCCCTGCCACACCGTACACGCCGCACCGTACACAACGCACGCACGCACGCACGCACGCACGAATGAGCACCGATGTGCACATACACCCGGCCCGGCGTTATTGAAGGGCGAGGCGAGGCACCATAGCCCATGAGCTCGAAAAGGGCCAGGGAGCTTGAGGGATGACCTGCGTCCTTTTCTTCTCCAACGCTGGGCTCATCGTCCTCGTGCTGCTGCTGCTGGTCGCGGCCTCGGTTTGTGCGCCGAGGTGGAAGGGGCGAAAAGAACGACGACGACGACGACACCATGGGCGGCGGGCCAGAAGACGAGGACGAGGGAATAGGAGGGGAGAGAACGGCCGGAGAGGAGAGGGGCAGAAGGGAGGAGAGGAGGGAGGCGGCGAGGCGGCGCAGAAGGAGGGCGTGGGTGAGGAGGCGCTGACGGGGCGGCCCGTGGGCGACGCCCAGCTGGTCGAGCTGTGACTCGTCGAGCGAGGCCAGAGAAGCCACGGTGCTGAAGCCCCCCGCCTCCAGTCGCCTCCGGACATCGGACCAACCCCCCACCACCCCAGGTGCCACCACCATCACCTCCTGCTGCTGCTGCTCCTCCTCCTCCCAGAGCCGGTTCCACATCCACTCCTCCTCGCTGTCTTGCTGATGCACGTCGCGCTGCTGCTCGGCGCCGCTCCCGCCGTGCCGCTGCATTCCCTGCATCCGCTGTAGGGGGGCCTCGGCCTCGGCCTCGGCGCCCTCGTCCTTCATCCTTGGGTTGGTTTTTGGATTAACAACAAGAAAAGAAATAAAAAGAAAAATATTATTGCGGACACACGTTGCGCCACCCAGCACCTTCTGATCTCCGTGTCACTCAGCTGCTGCTGCTGGTGTTGTGAGGTCGATCAAGGACGGCCGTCCCTGCTCCTCCTCCTCCTCCTCCTCGTTGTCACGACGGTGAATACCACCACCACCGCCGGGGGGCTCTGCTGTCGGCGAGGCAGTGGGGTCTCGAGGAAGGAGAAGGCGGGCGCAGGAACTGTCGAACGCAAGGACCTTCGGGTGTGCTCGGATGGCTGAGGCGCTGTAGTGCAGGAGGTGGAGACCCGCGAGAGACGACACCCGCGACAACGCCACGTAGGCCTAAACTCGCCACCACACACCAAGTCAGAGGCCCCCTAAGGGCCGCACCACCACCCCACCACCGCCACCACCGCCACCACCCAATGCGTTGTTGTTGTTGTTGTTGCGAGATGCGCCGGGCGCATATGCGAGAGAGACGTTTGATTGCGTAGGGTAGGTAGGTAGGTAGGTAGGTAGGTGGTGGTACCTGGCCGTACTCGAACACACGGGCGAGGGAGATTTGGGCGCGATCGAGAGTCGCGCCCTGACACTTGTGGATGCTCAGTGCCCACGCGAGCTTGAGCGGCACCTGTCGCCGCGACTGCCGATGGGTGGGGGGGGGGTTCATTCACTCGTTCGTTCAATGATCGCCTCCTTACGCCGGCGTCACCCTGGCCAGAGCATGGGTGCGGGGGTGCGGGGTGCACTACGTACGGCGACGGGAGTGCCGAGTGGGCTTTCGGTGGTCCATTTGGCGGGAAGGACCGTGAGGGAGACGCCCGATGCGAAGCGCACGACAGGGTATCCATCCCGCGCTGCGTCCCAACCAACCACCACCCCTGCCCATAGCAGTTCGCGCCCATGCACACGACACACACACCGACACACACCGAAACACACGACGGTGTCAGCTCGTCGGTGGGGCGTTTGAAGAGCAACAGAAGAGCTCAAGCACGAGCATGGTTGGTTATAAGGTGAGAGGGGAGAGATAGGAGAGAGAGAGAGAGAGGCACCTCGAGCACCGTTGGAGAGGCCCCGGGAGACGTCGAGGTTCTTAAGGAGCATCACTTGGGCGCCCACCTTAAGCTTCAGCTCGGCGGCGGCGGAGCAATGCTGCAGCGCGTCCGTCCAGGGGGGCACGGCCCGTGTCCGATGCCCTGTATCGCTTCCCTGAGGCGGAAAGTCGCAGCCAGCCAGCGAGCCAGCCAGCCAGCGAAAGCGAGTGCGTGTGAGGCGCCGCCACGATTGGGGGTGGGTGGGGG